TTAATTTCATTCTATTATGATCTGATAGAATGTAGGGCAGTATCTCTACTTTTTTGTATTTGCTAAAAGTTGCTTTGTGGCATAATATATGGTCTGTTTTAGAGAAGGAGCTGTGTGCTGCTGAGAAGAAAGTGTATTCACTCATTGATGGATTAAATAATCTATATACATTTGTTAAGTCTAAGTTACTGATTGTATTATTTGGTTCTATAGTTTCTTTGTTTAGCTTTTGTTTGGAAGATCTATCCAGTGGTGAAAGTGGTATGTTATAATCACCCAGAATTATTGTGTTATGGTCTGTTTAACTCTTGAACTTGAGAAGAGTTTGTTTGATGAACATAGATGCTCCATTGTTTGGGGCATATAAAATTATTATTTTTATGTCTTGTTTTTGAATGGTTCCCTTAAGCAGTATCTCTTTTGATTAACTTTGGCTTGAAGTCTACTTTATTTGATATGAGGATGGAAACCCCTGCTTGTTTCTGCAGTCCAAGTAAGTGGTATGTGTTTTCCTCAACCTTTCACCTTTAGTCTGTGGATGTCTTTTCCTATGAGATGAGTCTTTTGAAGGGAGCATATTGTTAGGTCGTTTTTTTTTTTTTTAATGCAATCTACTAGTCTATGTCTTTTGATTGGTGAAATTTGGCCGTCAACATTCAGGGTTATTATTGAAACATGATTTGTTTGATCTGTCATTTTGTTTATTTTTTGTATTTAACTTGACTTGGTTTCTCTTTTCATTGTTTTTTCCTTTTAATTATCTCCTCATGGAATATTTTGCTGAGGATGTTCTATAAAGTGCAGGCTTTTGAGTTGTAAATTCTTTTAACTTTTGTTTATCATGGAAGGTTTTTATTTTGCCATCAAGTCTAAAGTTTAATTTTTCTGGATATAAGATTTTTGGTTAGCATCTATTTTCTTTCAGAGCTTTGTATATGTTGTTCCAGGATCCTCTAGCTTTCAGGGTCTGGGTTGAAAAATCTTCAGAGATCCTAATTGGTTTTCCCCTCTATGTGATCTGATTCCTTTCTCTTGTGGCTTTTAAAATTCTATCCTTATTCTCTATAATAGGCATTTTCATTATAATGAGTGGGGAGGGCTTTGGTGATGGCTGCAGAGTCCCAAGATGTAGGTGGAAGTAGGCCTGGGTTCAGTCCTGGGTCTGCTGGTAGGCGTGTGGTCCTGTGACTAACCTTGTCCTTGGCTACTGTGTGAGTGGGAGGGGTGGTCCTAGGCCTGGGACTTTGCTTGAGGTGAGTCTACTGGTCAGTGCGGTAGTCCTGGGCCAGGACCTGTGCCTTGGTTCCTGTGTGGGTTGATGGGGAGGTTCTGGGCCTGGGGCTAGGGTCCGGCATGGGTGTACTGGTCCTGCCGGGATTCATTCTTCAGGATGCCCTAGCACTCACCTGAGGCATAGGTCATTCAGAGTGGATTTGGCAGTGTGTCATGGTAAAGAAAAGTCAGAAAAGGCCAGAATTAGCTTTCCACAACTATCCTTAGGTCTATTTTGGCATGAAAAACATATAAACCGCTGCATGTCCCTCCAACAACTCCTCTTGTTCCCCATAGTGTGGGTAGAGGTGATTTTGCAGAATAATCTGTATTACGGATAGCTTGGGTCATGGCTAAATAGAAGATTATTTGGAGACTAAGAGGAGTCTGCACTGCCTGTGGGAATCTAAGTCAGGGCAATTTAATAGTGGAGCACAGTCCTCAAATGAGGAACCTAGACTATGAATTAGTTAACCTCTAGGCCTTTCTTGGCTTTTAAAATTCTATCAGAGGAAGGGGTAGAAATAGGGAATTTGTTCAATGGAGCTAGACAGCATTCTAAAATCTAGTAAGGTGGCTTTATAGAAAAATCTGGTTAGTGTGCTGTTGAGAAAAAACAGATCAAAGGTAGAGAAATAATCTGCATTTCTTTGTAATTTTTTCAAAGCCGTAACTACAGCCAACAGAGAAAAGTTTATAACAACCAAAACTTAAAAATGTCCAAGGTTTAAGCTTTGTCTGTACTGCTGCTACCTGCTGAGAGATTTTTAGAAGACCTATTAGACTTTCTCTTTCAACCTGCAAATGTGACTATGGCTAGAGATGCCATGCTTGCTCTTCATGGAGAATCTGGGAAAGTCTTGCTGTTTATTTAGGGTTACTGGATGAAGCAAATTTCTGATTTGTGTTTGTAGTACTGAAGGCTCTTATGTAGAGATCACAGTGATCTCTTAGTTGCTTAAGAAATTTATCTGAAAACCTTAATCTGCTAGGTTATGGGCCAGTGCCTGAACTTTGAAAATCCACCATGGCAGTGCTCGGGAGGAGCTTGCTGTTCAGTAACCCAGATGTCCTTGAGAGAAAGACACCATTGACATGGACATGGTGATGTGAACATTTTAGGGTAATATTGTGGTTGAGTCTGTCTGGACTTCCAGGCCTCTTGCAGATCTCTGCCTCCTTGTTTTTCTTCAAACACAACCTGGGCCAGAGGAGAAGGCATTAAGGAAATCTGTGGTGTGAATGCATTCCTTTTGTAGTATTTACCATAACTGATATAAATAATACTTGTACAATTATTTATTTGCTTGACTTCCCCACTATAAACTCCACAGTGAAAAAATGTCTGTTCAGCTATATTCACCAGCTCTTAGCATAGTTTCTGACATATATTAGCCAGTTAGTGAATATTGTATGAATTCATAAATAATTAAGAATTTGTCTTAATAGTTATTTGTCCATCTGTAAATAAATTGGAATTTTATGGTCTGAATTAATTTTTATGGCAAATTATAGCTCCATCCAAGTTCATTTACTAATATGGAATATAGTCTTATTCTTTTAGTAGAATATATAATAGACATATTTAGTGATGTGCTCATAAATGCAAAAACCTGTTTTCTGTTAGAATTAGCTCTAGTTTATAGCATTTTCTAATTTCTGTAGTCTAAATATACCTATTGTGGCATTATAATGAAAATGCCTATTATACAGAATAAGGATAGAATTTTAAAAGCCACAAGAGAAAGGAATCAGATCACATAGAGGGGAAAACCAATTAGGATCTCTCTAGATTTTTCAACCCAGGCCCTGAAAGCTAGAAGATCCTGGAACAACATATACCAAGCTAATACACTTCATGGAGTATGGAGTTGGGAAGAGATGTGCACAACTGATTTTTATGAGTCAGTGAACCATACTGAAGTTTTTAAATATCTTTCTTTTACCAATGCATTTTTCTCAAATACAAAGATTGTGCTAGTGATACACATTCAATAGAATATGTACTTTAAAATGATTGTAGATTAGTTAAGCTAGTGCTATCAACTATAAAAGATAAACAAAAAAATCTTTGTAGCTCAACATAATAGAAGTTTATTTCTGACTTCTATGAAGTCTGTATGTGACTAATCAGCTGAGGGTTCCTCCAAATTTTCATTGAGTTTCCAGGTTCATTTTTTCTGTTGCTCCGTAATCACTAATGCCTTGAGTGAAGAAATATGAAGGTGATATGTGAGAATTTTTCTTATAGGTCATAGAAGTGGCACATACTATTTCACTTATAATCCATTGGCTTGAATATAGTCTTAAAACCATAGCCACCAATAACTAAATATAAGGAAATGTTTATAAGAGGAAAAGGAAATAAGTTTGTTGAATAGCCACAATCTTCCACAATTTTCTAGTCATATTACAGAGTACACTGATCGATTTTTACTCTTCTCCTTATTTCTTCTCTAATAAATAAATTTACATAAGCAGGCTGGTAATGGTTAGAAGTGGAGTCTAGTTAAATCTTTTTCTGTGCAGAGTTAACTTGATCATATGAGGTTGGCTTTGGCCTCATTAACATCAGTCTTTAACTCATAATCCTTTCCTTTTTTGAATTACTGTATTATTTTTAATGCTATATAGGCATATTTAGGATTGAAAGTTGTGTGTGTTTGTGTGTGTGTTTATAAATAATCTTGAATTGTCAAGATGTTTTTTGATAATTATGAGTACTAGTAAAACTAAAAGGCTCTAACCTATGAGTTGAGATTTACAGGCATGCATATTTATGGTCACACAGATATTAATTACAATACTCTTAGATTCTTGCAGTCTGAAAAACTTTTCTATCAAAAAATCAAATATAAAATAGCCATTACCAGGATCAGGGGACTTAGGGAAAGGGACATTGCTGTTTAATGTGTGTAGAGTTTCAGTTTTTGAAGGAAAGTGTCAGAGATCTATTTTGCAACTGTGTAATTATATATAACATTAGTGAACTGTACACTTAAAAACGATTAAGATGGTAAATTTTATGTTCTTTTTTACCATATTAAAAATGTACTACTACAAATAATGAGTAATTAATACTTTTTTTTTTGAGCTGAACAATGTTCTTAGCTTTATTTTAACCATTAGGAGCTACTTAAAAGAAGTAAAACCCCATCAAGGAGCATATAATATAATTGGTGATAGATTAATGTTGACAGCTAATTTACTGGAAGTGTATTATATAACAGGTATTGTACAAGACATTTCATATAAATTATTTCTAATTATCTATAAAATATGGGATGATAAGTATTTTTTATCATATCCTTTCCTTTTTATTTTATTGTTAAAGAAGCTAAATTCTGTAGATATGATGGTTTAGTACCTTGCTGAAGGTTGCAAAGTTTCTAATCTTGGATCTGGTATTTAAACTCAACTATCTAACTTCAAAATCCTTTTTCTATATATTACATCATGCCTCTCATTACATAAAAAATAAACTAGTAATTTGATGCTTTATACTTTGGTATTTGTACCGTCAATAAGTATTGTCTATTTTATTATAATTATTCTGGCAAAATTGAAAGAAAGGATAAATTATTTAATTTATAGTAGCAGTTAACCTGATTGCATTTTAACTTTAGATAGACAACCATAAATTTTTTTGTTGGCTCAAATTGCTGTCTCTCTTTTTTTTTTTCACTTTTGGGAACATTAATTATTTTTCCCTGTGTCTTCACATACAGGTTATGTGGGTATGTAATTTGTGCCGAAAACAACAGGAAATCCTCACTAAATCAGGAGCATGGTTTTATAACAGTGGATCTAATATACCACAGCAATCTGATCAAAAAGTTCTTCGAGGACTGAGAAATGAGGAGGCGCCTCAGGAGAAGAAAGCAAAACTGCGTGAGCAGGCCCAATTCCAAGGACCCCCAGGTGACTTATCTGTACCTGCAGTGGAGAAAAGTCGATCTCATGGGCTCACAAGACAGGATTCTATTAAAAATGGGTCAGGAATGAAGCACCAAATTGCCAGTGACATAGCTTCAGACAGGTAAACATTTTGTTTAATCTTTAGGTGAATATATTTTTCTTTTTAAAAATATTTTTTAAAGTTGTAAAATGGAAACAATACCTTTATTTTATTTATTTATTTTATGTGGTGCTGAGAATCGAAACCAGTGCCTCACTTGTGCAAGACAAGAACTCTACCACTGAGCTACAGTGCTAGCCCGAATATATTATTCTTAATCCTCATTCCAAACAGAAATAAAAAAAACATGGAACATATTATAAATGTTAATATTTTACATAAATGCTAAATATGATATTCAGGACTTGAGCTATGATAGGTTTGGACAATCTTATGTTTTATGTGGGAGTGCTATCAGATAGATTTCCCAGATAAAGAAGTGAAATACATACTTCTTTTAAATTCTAGTCTTTCAAGATGCTTTGAAGTATCATACTGAAGTCTTGATTTGTATTTCTTGAATAATGGCATAGGACATTTCTTCTTGTATTTTTTAACCATTCACATATTTTCTTTGTGAAGAGTCTATACCATTTATTTTTTTGCACTTTAAATTCCTGAATTATAAGAGTGGTTGATATTCCCTTTCAAGCTATATGTATTGTAAATATTTCTTCTTGAAATTTCTTGAAGTATAACTTAAACAGTTTAACAAATTTTCAATGAAAAAAATGTTTTATTTTGAGATTGTCTAATTTGTTATTATTATCATTAGTGGTTTGTGTGTCTTGTCTAAGGAATCCTTACCTACCCTAAAATGTGGAAGGTGTTCTATTCTAAGTCCTTCAAGAAGCTTTATAACTTTAGTTTAAATAAAGAGAAAACAATATTTTCTTATATTTTTCCTAGAAGCTTTATAATTTTAGATTTTACATTTAGATCTATCATTCAATTTTGGTTAACCTTGTGTGTGGTCAAACAGGAAGATTTAAATGTCTTTTTTTTTTTTAACATGGATATTCAGTTGTTTCAATACCATTTGTTGAAAAGATAAAATCTTTTCTCTACCGAATTGCTTTTTTTCTTTGTCAAAAATCGTTAACATTTGAGTGGGTCTGTATGTAGATTTTCCATTCCATTTCGCTGATCAATCTGTATTCTAAAACCACATTGTTTTGATTTCTGTAGAGTTATATTATCTTCACACCAGGTAGTCTCTAACTTTTTAAAAAGGCTGTTTTAAATATTCTTTTTAAAAGCTGTTTTGGGTATTCCAAGTATTTCTATTTGAAGTTTAGAATCATGCCATAAGTATAATTTGGACTAGTTTCCCACAAATGCATGACTTTTTACTTAATTCACACAGAAATGTGTCTGCCACTTCTGAACATTATAAATAATATAAAGTAAGTTTCTTATAGCAGCATATAGTTGGATTTTGTGTTTTAAATCCATTTAGTCTCTGTCTTTTGAATAAGTTAACCTATTTACATTTTTGATAATTGTTGAGAGGTCAGGTCTTATTAAAGTCATTGGGTAACTTGATTTCTAGTTTTATTATTTTCCTTTTCCATCCTCTTTCCCCTCCTCCTCCTCCTCTTCCTCCTCCTCTTCCTCCTCCTCCTCCTCCTCCTTCTTCCTGATTTATTTAAATTGACAAATGAAAATGGTGTGTTTTATTTATGGTGGGTAATATGATGTTTTGACATGTGCACTTTGTGGAATAAGGTAAATCAAGTTATTTGACATGTGTATTATTACCTCATATACCTATTTTTTTGGTTATGAGAAGACTTTTAGCAGTTTTCAAATATACATTATTATTAACTATAGTCATGATGTACAATAGCACTCTTTTTTATACTAACCTTTAATGGGGTTCAGTGTGATATTTCCATACATGTACAGTGTGCACTCTTTCCTTTCTTAAAATCTTCCTTTGTGGTTAATTGATTTAGTTTAGTAGAGTGTTTTGATTCCTTGCTTCTTCTTCTTCTTCTTATTATTATTTTGGTTTGTCTATTATAGATTTTTGTTTTGTTTCATTTTAGGCTTACAAAAACATCTTTTGAATATTACAAGCTGTTTTGAAATATATCAATATATCATGATCATGAAGATAAGAAACAAAAGAAAATGAAAATGTTTTACTAGAAAATTCTATACTTTGATTACGTTCTGCCTACATTTTGAATTTTTGATGTTCATTTTACATTTTTCTATATTGTCTATCTCTTAGCATATTATTAATATAGTTATTATTTTAATGTCAACTGAAGATATGAATAATCTATGCACTATGTGGACAATAGTAGAATATTCTGATTTTGTCTGTATAGTAACTCTTACCAGTGAGTTTTATACCTTCGGATGTTTTCTTCTTACTCATTAATTTCTCTTTCTTTCAGTTTAAAGAACTCCTGTCATATTTCCTCTAGGACAGGTCTGGTGGAGATATATGATCCAGATTTTTTTTTTTTAAATCTTCTTGGTTGGTAATTTCTCTATTCAGTACTGTAAAAATCTTCTGCCTTCTCTCCTGTCCTATAAAGTTTTTACCAAGAAGTCTGGTACCAGGTGAATTGGAACACTCTTATGTCTTGTTCCTTTTTTTCCCCCTTGCCTTAAGAAACTTTTCTTTAACTTTTGAGAGCTTCATTATAATATATCTTGGGGTAGACCTGATTGAATTTAATCTGACTGGCAACCTTTGACCTTTTCTGCTCTGAACATTTGTATCTTTTTCTCGGTTTGGGAAGTATTCTGCTATTATCTCTTTGAATAGACTTCTTTATTCAAAGACTGACCTTTGGCAGTCTCAAGTCCCTTTTGAACCCCAGTGACCTGAATATTTACTCTTTTAATCCTGTCTCCCAATTCCCTTAAGCTTTGTTTATTCCCTTTCGTTCTTTTTTTTCTTTTTACTCCTCTCTGTATTTTCAAATACACTGTGTTTGATCTCCCTCATTTTTTCTTCTGTTGTCTTCTGCTATTGATGCCTTTTATTGTGTTTTTAAACATGCTTAGTGTATTTTTCAGTTCAGTAATTTGTTTATTTTAAACTGATTCCATTTCATTGTTAAATGATTTAATACTCCTATAGAGAAACTTATTTATGTTTTCTTGATTTCTAGTTTTATTATTGTTCCTTTACTTTAAATAAGTGTTTAAAATTCTCCATTCAAGAATTCACTCATATTCTTGGTGTATTGCTGCAGTCCGGCTGCAGCAAAATAACCAGGGGGTGACGAACAACTTGTGTACGTTGATACAGCAGGAGTAGGAGCCGTTTATTGCAGGACAGGAGCAGTATTTATACATTCCACACAGCTTATCTAATTAGCATAAACTAGATACATCAGTCAACCAATAAGGAATCTCCACACTTAATGGCTCGCTTCTGTTACTTCTCAAACCACTCCCTCTGGCATTTTGCCAGGCACCATCCAGACTTGTTTACGAACTCTAACATTCCCCTGGCTAAATGCCAGGTGTTATTTTGACTTGTTTACAGACTCTAACATTTCCCCCTTTTGTTTAATTTAAATAATGACCATAGTGGTTTTTACAGAAACACCATAAATAACCTGCTACAAACAGAAAGGGAGGATACAAAATGCCACAATACCAAGCCACTTGATGGCTCCATGCAAGAAGCCCTTGGAAAAATTATACCAGCAATGACACCGTTAGCAAAGATACCGAGTTACAATTTGTTGTAGATTACAGTTTGTTATCTCAGTCCAGGTAAAGCAGTGTCTCAATAGATTAACTCACAGTCTAGGTAAATCACAGTCCAGGTAAGTTCTGCAGGCAGCTAGCTTAAATCACAGTCCAGGTAAGTTCTGCAGGCAGCTAGCCTAAGCTGTAGTAGCAGAAACAGCAACAACTCCGAAGTCTCGTCCGTTTCTCAGCCGAAGTTTTGTCCGGTTCTCAGCAACACTGGAAATTCTTCCACCTTCGTCTTCACTGACACTGGGACGAAGGCAGGAACTCCGGATGGCTAAAGAAAATCCTGTAGTATTCCAGCAGGCACTAAGAAAACAACCTTCTGAACAATTTAGTACATTATCTCAAGGTTTTTTTGCATTTGAAATAAGCATTAATAGTGCTCATTACTCATCAGCTTCCAGGTGTGGGAGAACCATTGTAGCTTAGTTATTGGCATTGAAAATGACCAAACATCAGGGACGCCTGTAGCTCTTCTGCGGGCTGTAGCGTCCCGGGCAGCCCCAGATGGCCCTGGGGAGAGTCCCGGACTCAAACTGCTACTGGGCACAGGGAGCAAGAGCCTACGAGAGTGTGCCTCCTGGTCAGGTCTAGATTTGGGCTCCCGGCAGTGGAAGAGCCAGCTCCCCGGGCCAGGAGGCGGGGAAGGGCCAGTCGCCTCCGCCTCTTGGAAACTCCTTGCTGAGCTGTGACCGGCTTGCACACTCGGCAGCCGCCTCTCTGCTTCATGCACCCTCCAGTAACGAAAAGTATTCAGTAATAGCCTTTTGCTGCAACTTTTTTCCTGATAATCCTTCCTCCTCTGATAATCTTTCTTCTTCTGAACTTTCTGTTTCTTTCTGACTAGAGTTCCTGGGCTTCTATCAACATATGCCCTAACTATTCTTGATTCCACTGGGGTGCCTTCTTCCCTTAGAAATTTACTTCTCACCCCTTCCATATTTTCATCACAAAGACAATACAACATTTCAAGACAAAACAAGACACAAACATACTGTATCAATCTTCTCCATTTTCTTGAAATGACCATTTTTCCTCTCGCCCTATCTGCCTAGGGACGAGCAGATTTGCTCCCGTCCTATCTATGGACGGGCAGCTTTTTTCGTCACTTACCCCCGAGTGTCCCGGGGCTCCCCGTAACGGGCCACCATCTGTAGAAGGCCGGCTGCAGCAAAATAATCAGGGGGGTGACGAACGACTTGTGTTGATTGATACAGCAGGAGTAGGAGCCGTTTATTGCAGGACAGGAGCAGTATTTATACATTCCACACAGCTTATCTAATTAGCATAAACTAGATACATCAGTCAACCAATAAGGAATCTCCACACTTAATGGCTCGCTTTTGTTACTT